CTTTTAAAGATTGTCAGTGATTGAGCGTTCCGCGTCAGGGTAAAAGTTCTAGCTGTGGTCTAAGGGGGGTAACTCTGGTCTAGCTGAAGTAAGCGCTAGTAAAATCGGCTCCGGTTTTGCAATGCCCGAAGAGTAATACGCTTTTGCTAACAATTCGGTGCTGTTTGCATTGATTTTAAAACTTCATAGGTGACCTGTATCGCGGTGTTACGTGTATTTCCAGTATATATACCTGCTCTCGATTCACAAATTCAGTTGCAACAGCCCGAGTGTAACAGTGTAATGGATACTGATAAAACTACTGAAGTACCTTAACTGCTGTGTAATCACAAGTTCACTTGCGTGAGCGTGAGTGTGACTGACTGATTGAGTTTAGTTTTACGCCGCAGTCAGCAATATTCAAGCTATATGGCAGTACTTTTTACATCACCGACGGCCCAGGGATACATTGCCGAATGTTTCAAATGTTTCTCACACATTTACGGCACGGCACATTACCCGTGCAAAGCATGCGACAGTCTGACGGAATGCGCAAGGACGATATCTCCTATAAAGAGACTACTACTGCAAAGCGTGGTCTACGTGCAGATATGGGAGACGATGTAAATTTCAATTGACAATGACGAAAGCTGTCTAGCGTGAGCGGGTTAAACACAAGCTAAACGATACTGAAGTAACAAATAATTTGTCTAAGTGTATTTTCAAAGACATCAGAGGGACAAGGACATTCTATTTTCCTCACTGTAAACATTCGTGACCAACTCGTGTTATTCCGGGACAAGCCGTATAGCGACTCGTGCCGCTCTGGAAGGATTTCATATTGGCGCATGAACATCAGAACTACTTTAAAAAAGTAACTCTACCCCTGTTTGATTCCAAAGTTTCTTAATATCACCGAAGCACATGTACATTGTATTGCTAGGTTTTTGTTGTTGTTGTTTTTGACTTATTTAGTTTAAAGAACTAAACCTCTTTGATACAACTAAAAGAAGAAGAAAAACATTTGTTAAAGCAGATTTATAATGTAAATATTACCAGCTGTCCACGTTATATTTCAAATTATGTTAATTTTCTTAATAGTGTTTAATCATCACAAATGAACATATTATTGAATATGCAAGACAAAATTTCAGCTACATTAAATCCCAAAGCAGATACTCAAAAAATGACTTTAAAATATTTCTCAAACTGAACATTCGTGTAACCTTGCTGTCAGACCCCTGGTGAAATTTCAAATGAATTCGCTGAAAAAATATGAATGACCAAAAAACACTCAGACTAAATATCCCCAGAGCTATGAAATATAAGCCCAATGTTAAAGATTAAGGTTTATTAGTTACATACAAATACGATATTATTGTTTTGAAACTCATAGCGATTATAATTACATTTCCTAAAATTGGTCGAAGCGCACGTACAATCTCCACAACAAGCCCGAAAGATCGTCAGAAATACACTCAGTTGGACCCATAGGAGCAGTGATGTCAACAAACGCACGTGCGTGTATTGGAATCTCTCGCCGTCAATCGCATGATTCTTATTAAAAACTTCATAATAGGCAGCAAAATCCTTTTAGCTACGTTCTTCGTACTTTCAATATGACGATATATAATTTTCATGATGTTTAAACAATGACATAATGCCATTAACGATTTAAGTACTCGGGATTATTTTATCAAAGCACCGCGCTCATTTACGCACGTTCTGACTGGTTTGTCGTATTTTCGCACATAACAAGTATCGAGTGGGGGACGAGTCTTCTTGGAGGTTACAGAAAGAGGCGAGTGGTGACGAATGCACTGTATAGTTGCTAACTTTATTGGTTCTCTAGAGAGCACAATGAAAATTTGCAGTATGATCTCAAACGTTTGCTGATCATTTTCTAATAATGATGAGAGCATAAACATGTGTTATGTGCTAAAAACCTATAGCGTTACACAAAATGAAAATACGTATTATTGCCGAGACTCTTACATCCCTTGATGTTGATAAGTTCACTAGTATACTACAGGAAAGTGTTGACTCTGCTGTGGAGGTGCACACAGCACACAGGTGGTGAAGCAGATTGGTGCTGTATCGTGTGGTCTATCGTCTCGTGGTAGTAGGTCTAGCGGTGGATCAGTGGCTAAGTGGTTTGATAAGGAGTGTAGGGATATGACGGCTAATAAGTTTAGTGTACTGGATGATTTTAGATTGACTTGGAACAAGGCTGTTCTACCGGAGTAGACCTGACATTTTAATCGGCGTTTGTTAGGCATATAAAATACTTTGTGGACGGATACTTTGAAGCAAAACTTCTCACCAGATTTGATATTTCTAGCACCTGACGTATAATTTTGCTGATGAAATTGCAAAATCTTGTTATTGGAACATAAATAGTTGCTATTAATTCTGTTGGTCTTATTTCAAGAAATCACAACCAAATTCATTTGGGTTATAGTGCTATGGCAATGAACATTCAGCTGGAACTTGTATGAATATTTTAAGTCAAATTTACACCAGGTGAACCACCAAAATGAATACAGTGAATGACGTCTATCCAACTGGACTGGTTCGATGTTTGTGCTGGTGGAGGGAATTTCCAAGATTCATCACAACCTTGGTAACAATTTAAGTATATGAACAAATTTCAGAGTAATTAGTTAGATCACTGGAAACGTTTGTTCTGGGTTATTTTGAGAGACAGACTTGTTTTGATTAATATCATGTGAATCACAGTGTGAATCTTGCATCTTTTTTAGCTAAGGTTACCAAATTGTCGGTTTTTTTGACAGTTTGAACAGGTTGTTCTGTCTTGACATTCATTTTTTTTCCGAGACACCAAATGATATTTTTAACTCAAGATCCAATGAAGGAAGATTTCTATAAACTAATCTGAACTTACAGGACGCTTAGTACTCTCAGTTCAAAACTTATCAATAGAAGCAAAACATTGTCACAACTGGCGGTGATGTCATTTATTCAGTTAAAACAAATAAATAATTTGCAACCTGAAACCAGTATGCTTATTCTGTTGATGTTATATTAAAGTCAGCATCTGTTTCCGAAGCAACAAGTATCATTATCCAAAGTATACCACACAATTCTTTGTATCTAACCCTCGACCTTAAGAATTTACAGTTAATGACTGAAGTATTTATCATTACTCACACTGACATGTCCATAAGAACTGTAGCCATTAATATTTTCACAAGTACGTGTCAGATACAAATGGCTAGATTGTATTAGGGCGGAGGAGCCCCATCGTTGCCTGCAACTATATTTATTATTATTATTATTATAATTTTTATCTTTGATCTCCTTTACGGACCTTGGCCTAATCCATGATGAACCTTGACCATACCACTTGGTCTGTTTGTTTAACCTCGCAATATTCCAACTGTATATCGACAGTTTGTGAAAGATTGAATCGGGACCAGACAATCCAGTGGTTGACATCATGAGCATATAGCTAAGCAACTGAGATAAGATGTCACACATCAACCAAGTCAGCGAGACTGATCACCACTTACGACCAGTATGGGCTTGTTGCCATGCATAAAGATGCTGTACTGAGGATCTCTCTGGCGTATTGTGCGACCCATAATGTCTCACATATGTTCTATAGGATTGAGATATAGACTCCCCGGCCAGCACGGCCGAGTTGTTACCGACGTAAGACGATGACCCGGATTATCGTACCTTGGCTGACCTTTGCGTTCAGAGGATAATCATCCAAATGTGGTACAAAGAGCCTGTTTGTGACGTCATTGATGAGCCGTTGTCCATTCAGATATTGTCTGATCCTCACAAGGTCAAGTTAACAGTAATGTGAGAATCCCTTTACACCATCAATGAACCCCGCCAAACGGCACTTGCTCCAAGATATTCCGTTGTACAGATACAGCGTTTCCCAAACTACGAGGTCGGTCATTATAGTTGTGTACAAAAGAAACCGACTTTCGTCCGACCTGTGCACCTCTTCCCTTGACGTCAAATTACAGTGACGTCGAGATTGACACAAAGATGGTCGTGATGCTTTGTGCTCTGGAGATAACAACGGACGTCTGATAGGTCAGTCTGCCGCTATACCCGCCCGATTTTAGGCGATTTTGGAACGTTCTGTTGGATAAACGACAATGTGGAAGCTCCGCTGTTTTGAACACGCCACTTGATATGAACTACTTTGAGAACGGGTGCATCCTCCATAACATGCTGTCACTCGCGGTCCATCAGAATGCTGACGTTCCTTAACGTTATAAGTTTGCTGATGTTTTCTGGCCTGACGGTCGGTAGTCGACTGACTGACTGAGTTTGGTTTTACGCCGCTTTTAGCAATATTCCAGCAACATCACGGCGGGGGACACCAGAAATGGGCTTCACACATTGTACCCATGTGGGGATTCGAACCCGGGTCTTCGGCGTGACGAGCCAACGCTTTAACCACTAGGCTACCCCACCGCCCCCCGTAGTCGAAGGGTGAGAACTAACATCTTTTCCAATTGCCCTCAATGATATAATATACCAGCATTCCGCATAGCAATAACTTGCCATCTCTGAACATTTGTCATTTGATGTGGCCCCATATATGCTTATCAACAAGTTAATTGACTTTCCAAGTTATCGAGCTGTATGAATAGTTTACTGAAACTTGATAGTAGCTTAATGACGGTACACGTATTGCATGTAATGCTCGCCATTCGTAGCACGATCATTTCTAAATTGCATCAGGTAAGAATAATCATACTAACAAAAAATAATTATAATAGGAATATAAATGGCTACATGGAGTTAACATCATAGGTGTTGCGTTACATATTTGTATGTGTATACATGTAGTTCATGGTGTCACTGGTTCAAATTCTATTCAACATTTAAATCTCCTTCAATATTGTGAAAAGGTTTTCACATGTGGAATGAATTAGAACAGGCAGCTTATATCTGACAACCCAGTGTCTTCGTGTGTTCTTTGAGAGGGTCTTATCTGATTAGGCTGCATTGCTGTCGGCCATTGTGTTGTACTGCGTGCAAGATGGTATCAGTGTCAACTTTAGTGTTGATTGTTGTTTGTACCGGGATCTGCGCTGATGGGTTTCTTCACGTCGACTAAGTGAGTTTATTTTGCAATGGATTGTTTTGCTCAAATGTACATATCAGTTCATACATAGACATTAAGGATCTATACATTTTGGACAGTGCTCTCTTCTGGGGCATAAATCTGCTACTGGTATCAGCGGAGGAGACATGACGAGGGTTATTAACGCCTCACCAGTGCAACAGGTGCAGAAGTGATAAATGAACACTAACAGACTATTCTTATTAAGTTTTACTGATAAAACAATTAAATGTATTGTGTTCAAACATATATAAATTATTAACCATGGGTGAATGCGATCGCCGCTTAACAATTACAAAAAATATTAGTTGGGCGTTTTGTGACCATTTTACGGCCCAAGCAAGTAATAATTATGGTGTGGAAGACTTAGAGAATCCCGTGACCTGGGTCAGTGGCGGGTCGAATGTGTACCTCGTCGTATTGTGTGAGCGAGTGAGTGCGTATGGTTTTACGCCGCCTTTTAGGAATGCTTCAACAATATTACGGCGGGTTACACAAGGAATGGGCTTCATACATTGTGCCCATGTGGGGAATCGAACCGGGTCTTCAGCGTAAAGAACGAAGGCTTTAACCACTAGGCTACACTTCCAATAACAATAACACACACACCGTGTTATGTTGGCTGTTGCTTATGATATCATTCTTTCTTTGTTCTATAACGGACTGCATGTATAACGCCGAAAAATCATAAAATCAACACAGTCGAATGCGTTTGCGCGCTGTTTCCATACAATTTTGGGGTTGAGTGTTAATGTCGAAAATTCGATTTGTTTACAAACAACATCGTACAGCTGTAGTACTACTGAAACAAATATATACTCATGATATAGTCACAATTGTACAATCGACTCTGCTTTTAGCACAGATTTCTTCTAGATGTAGAAAGGGCTGTATATTTGAGCACTGCAGAATACCATGTGAAACAAACTAACAAACGATAAGCATGGCTCCAGGGAATTAATTGTTGTCTGTAATATCCATGGTTACCACTGTCGTGTCCTCTAGTTCCAGACACTGAGGAATGCCTGTCCCTCCCTGGGACTTGCATTGACACCTCCATGGTCCAGTGTAGGGGTCTCACGGTACAAATCTGTGGGCCCCTGCCGGAAGCAGCCTGTTGCATTCACTCTGACATTGGAAACTGAGTGTCTTGTAAGTATTTGAATCCAAATTGAAGGACAAGATGTGCGAATAGTTTCAATGTTCTTTCGAAAAGCATGAAAACTGACCAGGATGTCTGTTTGTGTGTGTGTGTCACAATATGTGTTGTGTGTGTACGTGTGGATCTGACAGCGAAACCTACAGAATGCATAAATATGATTTTTATCATCCAAAACTGTGTTGCACATGAGATATTGCTTGTGTGAGATCAAACGATATCTCATGGGAGATATAATTTTGACGGTAGATTTTGTACAATGCCCTGATGAATGCTATGACGTCATGAACTTGATGACGTCACAACGCTATGCCATCTCCGCACTGCAAGTATAATGCCAGTACAGTGTTAAGAGATGTAAATTTTTCATTGGAAACTAATGAAGAGTGATTTTGATGATAAATACATTTCACTCGTGTTCTTTTCTGATATCAAATATATCAACACACGTTGATAAAAGTAAATATATTCTCGGCATTCCTCGGATATTTGTAACTTTATCAACTCGTGGTGATATATTTGATATCGAAAGACACTCGGGTGAGATTCTCTGTATCCTGGTCAAGAGCCCAGTGTGCACTCGGTTGCACTTCTCGGTTATACAGCCCAGTTTACATGTGAGGAGCTGGCAATTAACAGCAGTTGTACCCATCGTATCCTAACGGGTACCCATTCAATGCTTGATGAACAGAAAGGACAGGAGCCGAGCTCGTCGATACATCTAGTCTCCGCGACCAGCGTTAAACTTATGTGGAGCGCTGTATTTAGAACATTTCAAGACTGTTTGCCGCCGTCAGGTATCTTGGTGATAAATATAATTCTTCTGTTTTCTTTTGTTTCATAACAGAAGAACGTCAACACAAGCAACCCTCCTGTTAAAGTGCTTTTAAATTCGAAAAGAATAAATTGTCCATGAACTTTACACGAAGAATTGAAGCATTAAATTAACATGCAATTCCGTTAATCATAAATATATAATTTGTGAAGAAAAATGGAAAGTTAATATTTCACAGTGAAATTAATACCGAACAGCCTCTCACTAACAGTTAACATTCATCGTGTTGCTGTTACGTTGTGATTATATACTACCCATCAAAATACAAGATCTTATCTTATGGATAACAACTTCTTGATTTATTTTACACAACGTTTCTGGGCTTGTTCTTGCCCCTTCGTCAGGTGGATAATCCATAAGATTTGTCTTGTATTACTACACCAACTTCTAAAAGCCTTTGAAGAATTTTACCCATCAAAAGTTTAACCTCGCTTAAATCATTCACTATATGTTATGTATGTACATATGGTTACAAAGAAGATGAATTTTTCCAATAAATTGGGGAAAAAACCTGCAAAACGTATGCACATTAATTGCACGAGGATCATGCATCAAACTGCTGAAAAGCATGTGCAAATATCGTGCATGTGAACAGCTGCGTTTAGGTGTAAAGGTTGGATAAAAAATCGTCATTTTTCACCGAGTTTCACCATTTTTATTGAACACATGACAATAACCTTTTCAACGTCACGAATTAATTTTACAATACATCAGCTCATGTATAAACAGTACCTCTAAACTGTATGGAATATTTTACAAAATCTAGTTCAGAACAGTTGACTGAAGTACGTGGCTACATTTACACTAATGAGTCTACACTTTTGATGGGGAGTATAGATTGGAATCCTGGTTTGCCCGATTAGGTCTAGGTGTAACATGCTGAGCAACCCTGATGGTCCGGATTAGAATTGATCTTCAGTAACCCATGCTTGTCGTAAGAGGCGTCTAACGGGATCGGGTGGTCAGGCTCGCTGACTTGGTTGACAAGTCATCGTATCCTAACGGCGTAGATCGATGTTCATGCTGTTGATCACTGGATTGTTTGGTCCAGACTCGATTATTTACAGACCGCCGTCATACAGCTGGAATATTGCTGAGTGCGGCGTAAAACAACAAACCAAACCAAACCATTATGGGGCTTGTCTATAGTAACGCCAGTTTCATACACGAAAACATGGAGATCATAGTGTCACACAAGAAATACATACAGGAACAACATTAATAACACTTTTTATTACTCGCCCGTGGAAGATACTGCAGTATAATATTTTAATGGCAATATTACACCAGTGTAATACCGCTCGACATATGACGTCATAATAGTTACAGTTAAGACGTCACAATACTAATGCCTCTGTCGCAATGGCATTAGGGCTTGCTTGACTCGCAGAAAATTGATGTGAGAATCATCACACTGTAGGCAGTTTCTATCAACTTATGTTGGAGAGTAATAAACAGAATACTGAAATAGCATTTTTATCAAACTCGTGAAAGATTTAGTATCAAATCATAAACTCGTTTAAAAAATGGTATTGCACGGTAAGTCGTTTAGTATCCTCTATAAATTCCGATTCAAATAATCATCTCCTTTCCTGTGAAAGCAGACGTTAATTTTTTTCTGAAAAAGAAGAAAATCCAACATTTTTGGGAAAATTATGTAAGTGGGTTTTTTGACCGCCCTGCTCCATGTTTCTTAAATGAACTTGAACTGTACCTGTGCTGTTTTCAGGAAGAGAAGAACTTTTTATGGATTGGCAAGTTCTTTATGGCAAGAGATGCGACTCGTCGATTCTAACACTGTTATTATGCAAGTCTTCAGGGGTCGCATGTTGTTGTTTTTTCTAATTTACTGCATTTTAATCCAAGAAGACCCTTTGTTACGACGTAAATTGTAATAAAACGGAAATTGTAATACTTGCAGCAAATTGTAATAACCCTTGACGTAAATTGTAATAAATACGTAAAGTGTAATAAAATTTGACGTAAATTGTAATAATCAAATTGTGATGAAAATTGGCGAAAATTGAAATAATTTTAGTTGCGGTAAAATGAAATACATATTTACGTAAATTGTCACAACAGTTTTAATCATTCGTAAATACGCGTGTGTTCGTTTAATACGCGACGCATTTCAAACATCATATAAGTTTATTGGGGCGATGACTCATGAAAGAAATGATGGAGTTTGTTCAAATTTGGTACCAAGGTGTCGTGGCGAGATTCACCGACACCAGTTGAATTTAGTTACCTTGTGAAATACCTTGCAACAAATTCTGAGGGTTTTGTAAATATAAAATTGTTAGCGCGATAACTCAAGAAAGAATTAACAAATTTTGCTTAAAAGTAGTACCCAGGTGCGTTGGCACGATGTGCGGACACCAGATGAATTGGGCTGCCTTCAGATTGATAAATACTTATGGAAAATATAACAACCGTAATATCAAGGGTGCTCTTAGCTATATGATGAAAAATGATATTCGTCCTGATTATATAATATAAGATCTCCAACTGTCTTCTGTATCATGTTTTTCTGGCAAATATCTGTTGAGGTTTTGATAAGTAAACATATACAGAGGGGAGATTCTAACGGGTATATCTAACACAATAATGCGTGTAGAGTTAGGGATGGTGTGGTGTTCTAATGGGTATACAGTACAACCAGAAATTATTGAGAATTTAAGATTGTAATTTTTTTTCTTTTTTTCACTCATTACTCCCATATTAAATGTGAATATTAGCAGAACATAACTCCAGATTCAAAGACAGGTGAACAGCTAGTAGTTTGTCAAGTCACCATGGGCAGCAATGCAGGCTTCAATGCGGCGGGGCATACTACTGATCAAAGAATTTAGAAAGTCGTGGTCCATGCTGTCCTAATATCGGACCACCTCTTCTTTCATTTCAGCAGTATTTGTCAGATTTTGCTTATTGACACTTTCCGTCATTAGTCCCCAAACATTTTCCATTGGATTTAGGTCAGGGCTATAGCTTGGCCAATCTAATAATCTCATATTTTGGGTCCGAAACCAGGCCTGTGAATGCTTTGAACAATGTTTTGGGTCGTTGTCTTGCTGGTAAATCCAAATATTTCCATAGAACACGTGAGCAGATGGAAGTAAATGTCCCTCGAGAATATCTGTGTACCGCTCATTGTTCATATTCATATTCAAATACACAGAGGGCGTTGCCCCTAACACAAATATGCCACCCCACACGTTAAATTTCGGACTGTACTTTGGGCGCTGATACAAAGGTTTTTCAGTTTGTTTGGTCCAAAATTTCAGTATATTAGGAAACAGACACACAGAACTTTCATCTGAGAAAATCACATTGTCCCAGTTAAAATTTCTATGCTGTAAGCACCAGTTCAACCTTCGCTCCTTTTGTTCAGGTTTCATCATCAGTGATGGAATTCCTCGACTTTTCTGCCAACCCACTGCATGCAGCTCAGTTCTAATTGTCTCCTTACAGACAGCCACAGTTCCTCTATCAATCATATCCAGCCGTACGTTTTCTGAACTCCTTCGTTTGTTTTTAGAAACACGAATCCCAAGCCGCCTCCTGTCAACGACAGTCAATTTTTCTGGGCCTACCTGAGCCTCCCTGATGCTCAACGCCATATCCATTTGCAATATTTTTCAAAACACGATAAACAGTGGACAAAAGGATGCCTGTTCTACTTGAAATCACTTTAGCTGATCTGATGTCCTAAAATCAACTTCTTCTTCTCTAAATCATCCATACTGAGGATCACTGAAAATGTCGTCTGCTAGCAAGTAAACAAAGGAGGATAACTCTTCACAAACTAATGAAAAGGATTAACGGAGTAGTCTCTCTTGAATGAAACGGAGCACTTGAGAGCTGGTCAAGGTTGTTTATACTAGAAATCCAATGAAACATATTCCTAAAATTCTCAATAATTTCTGGTCATACTATATCTACGAGTGGCATTCAAAACGTAGAATCACCTAGAATATGATACAAATGCAGCTGTTTTATGTTTTGTTTTTCTATATATTATCTGTCAACCTCGAGCAAATTTGTTTTGCTATGTTCCAGCCTCACGATCCCCATATTGTTTGACTTTATATCTTGGCACTCACCAAAACGCAAAATCTGTAATAAATGCATCACAAACTTCGGGAAACAAAATGTGCAAGTGAGTGAGTTAAAATTTTACGTCACATCGGCAATATTTCTGCTATATCGCGACGACTAAAAAGGTATGTACTAAGAATAAATATATAGACCATTATATACTTTTTATCATCATAACGATTATCATTAAGATTATCATACATGAATAAAAACTAGTTTGAGTTCAAAACAACACAATATAAAAACGGGCTATAGATCGCCAGCAACTGAAGGTAGATCACCATGCTAGGGACAATGGTGGCTTATGTTACTTTTGCTACCTGTATGGTCTCTATCTGGATTTCTATCATCACCTCGGTTCTATGCCAAAACTTCCACATCCCAATACTACCACACATTGTTAAAACAACAACTCCTCATCTCCCCTTTTAGGTGATAGGATAGCCCAGGATGTGCACTGATCTGAAACAACGGATAATGATCCTGATCACCTGACTGTTTTTCTTGTAATGTACTTTATAGGTGTAACTGAATAGTCCAAGAACTTTGGAGGAACAGAAGAGTAGTAGAGATTTAGCAGAGTTGAGATTTCGTAGAGAAGGGAGCAGTTAACGTAGTATATTTCGCGTAGGTTTTATTTCGCGCTTTTCGCGCAAAACATTTTAGCGCGAAAATTTATACACCGCGAATAAACCTGTCATTCATTCAGTCTAGCCACGCTCGCCCCTGAGTTGTTACCATAACACATCAAGTTTGAACACAGAAATCTACGGGAATCTTAAAATGACGACTGATAGTAGCATAAAGAATCAAACTTAACTGTCGCTGTAATGGATTTCCCAAAACATAATTAAATAATGAGCCAAATCCCATCGCCGAATTAGCGAAAACAGCAATGTGTGTTGTGGCCGCCATGGAAATTGGTCACATGACAGATGGTTTGATACAAAACAGATTACCACGAAACGACTCGGAAAGAAATAATACAGCAGTATTTTATTTATTCATTTAGATACAAACGT